ACTTTGAAGACCCTCCATAGGAACACACACTATGACTGAGTTTAATTTCCATTACTGTGAGACACTCAGGACAGGGACCCCCGCTGTGCCATCACAGACCAACATGGGGTCCCAAGCACAGCACCATCTGTCATATGCACTCTTTCAGCTACTGTGCTGGGTGTGTCTGTGTTTTATTTATTTATGTGTTGGTGTTATTATTGCTGAGGTGAGCGCTCACTATGTTGTCCAGACTGGTCTCAAATTCCTGGGCTCATGGGACCCTTTTGCCTCAGCTTCTGGAATGGCTGGAAACTAGAGGTGTATAGAAAAAGCCCTGAGCTGGGCAGCGGTGAAACAGGCCTTTAATCCCAGCACTCAGGAGGCAGAGTCAGGCGGATCTCTGAGAGTTCAAGGCCAGCCTGGTCTGCAGAGTGAGATCCAGGACAGCCACCAAAACTACACAGAGAAACCCTGTCTTGAAAAATCAAAAAAAAAAAAAAAAAAAAAAAAAAAAAAAAAAAAAAGAAAGAAAGAAAAAAAGCCCTGGTTGTTGTTGTAAATCTCAAAAGAGCCACCATTCCAGTTTACTTTGTTTTGAGACAGAACCTTTAGCTCAGGCTGACCTTGAACCTCCTAAATAGGGGAGGATGACACTGAACTCCTCCTGATCCTCTCCATTTCACCTTCCAAGTGCTGGATTATAGGCCTGGGCCACCATGCCCACTTATGTGGTACTGGGGTTTCCCACATACCAGGCAAGTGTTGTACCAACTATATACAGCCGCCTAACCCCTCCCCCACCACACACACACACACACACACACACACACACACACACACACACACACCTTATTCATGTAGCCATTCCTCAGTGCACAGGGAGCCCCTACAATGTGCTAGGTCTTGCTGCCACAAAGAGATGGCTCTGGGCCTCAGGGTCCTGGTCTAAGGGGTACCAGCACCCTCTCTCTCTCAGGGTTGCCATGAGGGCTGGAAGCACTCACATAGGGCTCCCATGTCTTAGGGACCAACACGCTGGGTAAATGTCAAGAGGAGTCAGGAAGCCTTCAGCTGGGGGAGAGAAGTTTAGTTACTCCTCCATCCAAGACCAACTGGCCCCAAAGGAGGGGAGACTAGAGGGAGACACCTAGAAACCAGAAATGTTGGCATGGAGCTGGTAGGGCCTTGCAGGGCCAGAGCCATAGCTCTGGAGAATTCCATCTGGCTCGGCCAGTCAGTCACCTTCCCCAGGCCTTCTGGAAAGATCTGCAATGCAGCGGCAGCGGCGGCGGCGGCGGCGGCGGCGGCAGGAGCTGAGGCTCTCAGGGCCAGGGCGGGGGCACAGTTGGCTTTCTCATCCCCAGGGAGGGTCCTGTTTAATTCAGAATCTTTCCTAAATTTGAAAAAGTGGCTTTTTAACATGTTTATTTTGCGTGTGTTGGAGGGTCAGAGGTCCAGCATCTTTCTAGAGTCTGTTCTCTCCTCTCTCCATGTGGGGGGGTCTAGGATCAAAGGGGGGCTCAGGCTTGGCCACAGGACCTTCCACCTGCTCCCTGCCCCCCATTCCCTGTGGGCCCCCTTCCTAAACGCCGCAGGAGGTAAATGTAGAAGACAGTTCTTTGTGTTCACAGGATCCACTGCCCTTTTTCCTCTCTTGCCCTGGTGACTTTGGTTCCTGGGACAGATCGCCAGGCCTGTTTCCCCACCTCGTCTTGGGCCCCCCCCCCACACACACAATGACACAGCCACTTTAGTTCCTGTAACTTCTTCTGCTGGACCTGGGCTCTCTGGGAGGTGGCTATGTCTGGGCCTCAACGACTGGTTTGTACCCTCTCTCCAGGGTACACGTTAGCTGTCCAAAGCTCCCTAGGAAACAACGCCCTCTCCCTCATGACAGAGCTCTGCTTCTTCATCATCTCCGTGGCTTTTTCCTGCAGTGGGAGGAGCCCAAGTTTGTGCAGCAGATTTAGAGGCTCACAGTGTTCCGAAGCCCTTTCCAAAAATCAGTTCTGGGAAGGCGGGCAGCTGGGTGGGTGGATGGGAACTGTCAATTCAGTCTTCAGAAAACAAGAAAGTAGTTTCCTTGGGCAAGTGCCGCCCCCTGCCCCCTTGCCTTAGAGATCAAAACCACAGGACTGCCTGTAGTTCCACAGGCCTGGGAGGAATGCAGGTGGCCTTGCCCAGTCTGGTCTCTGGCCCCCTTGGGACTAAACTAAAAGACCCCAGCAGCCACTCTCTTGACCAGGGCTGATGGCCTTCGTCACCTGCAAGGGGCTTCTGTCTGGGCTGTGGGTGGCACCTTCCCCACAGCAGGCTGTACCCTGGTTCCGAATTTGTGCTGCTCCAGGGATTTTCAGGGTCACGACTCCTCAGGCCACAGCCAGGAGAGCTAAAATCTTCCATGCTCTCTCCCCACCCCTTTGTTTACTACATTTTACAGCATCAGCATCATCCATCGATTCGCTCACCCTCTCTTCTTACACATTAGGAAATCACCACTCAGAAGCTACTGGATTCTTGTTCAAGGTCACAGGAATGCCAGAAACAAGAACTCGGGGCTTCTATTTTGGGCCTTTGAGGGGCAGCCGATGACGGCCTAGAATGGTCCTGTTCTCCTTCTGATTGGTGCTGCCCTTTGGGTCAACTAGGACTACACAGTGAGACCCTGTATAAAAAAGTAAAAAGTAAACGAGGGTTAGCCATGGAGCACATCCATAGAATGTCTACCTAGCAAGCTTGAGGTCCTGGGTTCAATCCTCAATATTGAAAAAAGAAAATTCCAGAAAAGATCCACTTAAAAAAAAAAAAAAAGGCAAGAATCAAAGTGGTTTGGAAACTACCAGAGCCTGTTGTCGAAGCAGAACCTAGGATGGGGAAGACAGCAGACATCTAGATCCTAGCAGTAGGAAAGGCGGTCACTGTCCAGAATGTTCTCTAGGAGTATTCTCACGGACTGAGCATTGGATTTTCTCTCTGCCTTTGCCAATCCGTGTCTTTCAGCCCCGTTTCCTGAGAGGCTCTGTTACCTTTGTCTCTCTCTCCAAACCCAGGGAGTTAACCCTCTTTAGGAGCTCAGGGAGAGTTCTGTGAAGGGCTTGTCTAGTTTGCCTGAGGCCCAGGGTCCTATCTGCAGTGTTTCAAAGAACAACCAACAACCAACAACAAAAACACCTCTAGTTTTTGCCACAGGTGAGTCCCGCCTTTAATCCTAGCTCCCAGGAAGCAGATGCTGACAGATCTTTGAGTTCTGAGGCCAGCTAGGGCTACAGAGTGAGTGTCAGGCCAGCTTGGGCCGTCTCAAAACACACCACACTATACAGTCTTTTGTTTTGTTTTTAAATGCAGAGCCTTCAGCGTTGCCCTGGCTGACCTGGTTTCTATGAAGACCAAGCTGGCCTCGAACCTGCAGAAATACCGCACTGGCGTTTTAAACTTTTTCCTGGGCTCCAGAGCATGTTTTAGGCCCTCCTGGCAGCCCAAGACAACCAGCAGCTGCTGACAGAGACAGAAGGTCGGGGGAGGAAGGGGGAGCGAGTGGAAAATGAGCGATGAAGAACACCTTCTGCTACTTAACTTCGCCTAATTTTAGACGAATCACAAATTCCCCAGACTCTGAAATCACCGCCTGTAAATTCAGGTGACTCAAGTGTTCGTCCTTTCAGAACGAAATTTCTACTAAAAAATTTCCAGCCCCGAGAGCATCCATCAGATGTGCATCTCAGTAACATTCCATTCTTTGCGGCTCTCTAGAGACAGAAAGGAAACCAGGGCAGTTTCCAGAGGGGCGGGTGAAAGCCGCCTGCAGAGGCCAGGCCGGCGTGGTGGCCCCAATCTTGAATCCCAGCACTGCTGAGGTAGAGGCAGGCAGTTCCAGGACAGCCAAGGCTACAGAGAAACCTTGCCTAACAAAACAAACAACGAACAAAACCGCAGAAAGCGGCCGTGGCTTTGGGATGGGAGGTAAAGGGCCTGGAGGGTGGCCAGAGCCCGGCCGTGCTGGGCGCCGTCCTCCCCCACCTGGAGCGGCTCACGCCTTCGGCTTCAGGGGCCACCGTGAAGCCACGGCCCCCTCCTGCCTACTCAGAGTCCCCGGGCACAGATCTGGGGGAGATGGTGAAACCAGCCCGTCCCGGGTAGAGGTCCCCGAGTGCAGATCTGGGGGAGGTGGTGAAACCAGCCCCGCGGGTCCAGGCTCTGGACTTGTCCGTGCCCCGAAGCGCTCAGTTTCCCAGGACGCCCTTGCTTTTTTTTTTTTTTTTGGTTTTTCGGGACAGGGTTTCTCTGTGTAGCTTTGGAGGCTGTCCTGGATCTCACTCTGTAGCCAAGGCTGGCCTCGAACTCACAGAGATCCTCCTGCCTCTGCCTTCTAAGTGCTGGGATTAAAGGCGTGCGCCACCGCCCGGCTTGCCCTTGCTTTTCTACAAACCCAGGCGGCCTGCAGCTTACAGGGTCGGCCGAGCCTCGCTTCCCCTGGAAAATCCTGGGGCGTAAGGAAGACGTACAAGCATCGGGGGACGTTCCTATAAACACGGGGAGCAGCGTGGTGACTTCTCACACACGGGGGGCAGCGTGGTGACTTCTCACACGCGGGGGGCGCAGAGGCCAACCAAGGCCAGGGCGGCCCCGCGGGCCGAGGCACACGGGGCGAGCGGGAAGGGGGCGAGCGGGAAGCGGCGGCCCAGACCAGCGGCCGCCCTGCCCCCACGCCAGCCATTCCCCAGTCAGGCCGAGGCGCTGGGGGGGGGGGGCGGGGAGAGACGCGCCTGCGCAGAGAGACGCTGCGGCAACCAGCCCTCGCCGGGACCGGCTGGAACCGGTTAGAACCAGCCGCGCCCGCCCGCCCGCCCGCGACTCGGCGCCTCACAAAGGGAGGGGGCGGCTCACGCCCCGCGTATCCCTGCGCGGCGCCGGGCCTGCTCCGCGCCCCTCCCCCGGCCTTTGTCCCCGGGCGCTCGCCCTCCCCTCCCCCACGCCGCCGGCCCGGGCCTCTGCAAAGGGCCGCGCTTCCTCCTCGGTCCTCCGGGTACGGGGAGAGCGTGACCGCAGAGCCGTCTCCACCTCCAAAACCCCAAAACCCCAAAGCAGCGCAGCCCGACACCCGCGCGCGGCGGCCTGGGGCGCCACGGGTCCCGGCCCCCAGGTCACCGCGTCTGGGCTCTGCGAGTGCTGAAGGGCCCGGGCGCCTGACATGGCCGACGGCTGCGAGCACCAAAGCGCCCCGTGAGCCAGGCTCGAAGTCACGTCCGCCCCGCGTGGGCCGCACCCCGAGGCGGGCGCCCTCGGCACCCCGCGTGGGCCGCACCCAGTACAGGGCAGGCACCTCCATTTTGTTGCTCCTGAAATGGCGGCCGCGTATGGAGCAAGCAATAAAACGAAAATGAAAGCGGCCAGCAAACCCATTTAACACGTAAAAGAGCAGTACCCACGGTAACACTCTCAGGAAAACGCAAAAGGTGTTCTAAAATCCTTCTGAAAAAACCTTAGCGGCTGAAAAACCTTAAGGGCTCCCGTTTTTTATGAGCTATTATTTATTTTCATAGTCTATGGTTTTCATCTTGCGACCTAAAAACTTATCTGCACTTCCTGGAACGTCTTAAATATTTCCCCGTATTAGCAAGGACTTAAAACACATAAGAAAAATCTAGAAACTTGGAAGTCAGGCTCTGTTTTTAACTTTCCGGAGGGACTATTTTTTCTCCCTTCACCAAGGTGGTGGAAGGTTACGCGGTTCCGGTTGTGTGAGTTGTCCTTGCCCTATAAATACGGGTCCTCCCGGGCCTGCGTCAGGCATTCAGGCAGCAAGAGCGCAGGGGCTGCTGAGGCAGGAGACGCAGCTTGAGGAAATCGCAGATAAGTTTCTACCTAAAAAGATTGAGATTAAAAAAAATTAGAATTCTAAACTTAAATTGTTAAATAGAGCAGCTTGTGGAGATGTCGCTTAGCGTTAAATTCTTAAAGTAACTTCTATTGTAAAAAGCTTTTTAACGGAAAATATGAAGCCTTATTTAAGGAGTTTAAAACAGGAAAAGAGAAGAAAAATATTTGTAAGGTATGATGGAGGCTGAGATGAAGGTTTTATGGAGTAGTTTAAAAGATTGTAAAGGGAGGGAGTACAGAGCCTTTAAAAAGCATTTAATATGGAGGTCAGCCTTGTAGACTAAAACGAAGGTTGCTTAAAATAATCCAAATGCCATTTAAAAACAGTAAAATCTTAGATAATAGCTTAAAAATCAGCTTAAAAAGATTGAAAAATCGGTTAAGTTGAAGGCGGTTATGAAAGACCTTCGGTTGATGGCGCAGGAAAGATTGCGTCATTTGAAGCAATTTATGTTCCAAGGCATTTGAGGTGGAAACGGAAGTTTAATTGGAATTAGTAGCTTAGTATTGGAGAAAGAAGATTAGGAATTGAAGTGGAAAACGAAGACAGAAGTACAGGGAAGAGAAGAAAAGCTGTAGAGAAGATAGGAAAATAGAAGACGAAGCATCTTTAGAAGACAGGTATTTAACCGTAATGGTAGGAAGCAGAAGAGAAACGTAGGAAAGTGACAAACTAAGAAAACTAGAAGAAGCAAGATAGAACAGCAAGTTCAGACAACTTTGGATTCAAGCATTCAAGATAGGCAAAGAAGATAAGATTGACCAAAAGGTTGGCTAAAATGTAAATTCTCAAGAATAAGGAAGTTATTTTTATATTCATAAATTCAAATTTCTGACGGAGCAGTTTGGTGTAGACGGCCACTGTACCAGAGTGAAGCTAGAAGTCAAACCTAGGACTGAAGGAATTGGAAAGTTAAGGCAGAATGTGTTTGAAGAGTTAGAAGAATTTTAAAAGCCTTAACTTTAGCGTAAATTTGTTTGAAAAACAAAGGACTTTTGCTAACAATTTCAAGATTATCAGCATTTTTGCGTTGGACTTTGAGCTTGAGGTGCTTGTAAAAATCCTAAGGACTTAGTATTGGCAGCAGACCCAGGTCTACACAGAAGTGGATTCAGTGAACCTAGGAAGACAGGAGTCCCGAGGCCAGTTTGGTGAAGATAGTCCAGGAAGCAGTGCGGTTCGGTGGAGGAAGCTAGGAAGAAGAGCCCTAACGCTGTGGTGAAGCTAGGGGAGGATTCCAGGAAGGTGGAGCCAGTGGAGTTGGTGATGAGAAGCTAGCTGGCGGCTTGGCGACTGCGCAGAGGAGGCGAGCAGGCATTGTGGAGAGGATAGATAGCGGCTCCTAGACCAGCATGCCAGTGTGCAAGAAAGGCTGCAGGGAGAGCATGTGGTGCGGTAACATTCCGTGAGGCCGGCAACGCGGTGTTTTTCTGTAACTTGAGGATGGTAACTTGTTTATTTTGCCTTAATGGTAATGGGGGAGTTGTAAGCTTGTGTGTAAAGGGATTTCTTTGGGGCTGTAGGCCGGTTCCGGGTGTCGTAGGTTTTTCTTTTTCAGGCTTATGTCTTCTCTCATCTTGTCTGAAGCTTTTGAGGGCAGACTGCCAAGGCCCGGAAGAATGGTAGATGGCAAGTTGTCTTAACCAATTGGAGGGAAAAATGAATGGTAGAGCCAACACAATCCCACCAGTTTGTGAGAAGTTTTAGTTTTTGTGAACAGATGACCTACTGCAGTCTCCTGCAAGTCTCCTATGTAGTTGGGAGGTAACTGGGCAAAGTGTTTCTGTGGGGATGGGGGCAAAATATGTTTTGAGTTCTTTTCCCCTTAGGTCTTTCTAGAATCCTAAAGGCAGATGACTCAAGGGAACCAGAAAAGAAAATCCAGTATCAGGATAATCTGAACTCAACAGGTTTACAGTTTCTAGGAATTAGAGGATGGATAATAGCTTTCACTTTGAGTCTGGAGGAGCTGTCCATTGGAGAAATATGGCTGGTAGTTAATTCTTTCTCCCCTCCCTTAATGAGACTGGTAAAATTCCTCATCTTTTAAACTGCATTTTTACTTGAAATATTTGGGGATGGTCTTAACAGGGAGGATCGGGTGGGGGAGATGTTTTTTCTAAGATTCTCCACAGATGCTAGTTCTGTTGGCACGCTGGGTAGAGAGGCGTGTGCTGCCCTGCGGTTGGCATGACCTTCAGGGACTGGAGCTGCCCTTTATCCTTGGAAGAGGTTTCCCACTTGCGGCTGAAGTACAGCACAGTGCAGCTTTGGTTCAGTCACCTCAGGAGACCCTCAGGAGCTTGACTAGGCCAGATGTTGAAGTTAAGTTTTCAAGCACCATGACTTAAAATGTTTCAATTAAAGGGGAGGGGAAAACCTAGTTGGCTGTGGCCTGTTGTGTTTGGGTGGTGGTGGGGGGTTAGGTAATTGTTTAGTTTATGATTTCAGATAATCATACCAGAGAACTTAAATACTTAGGATGGAAAAACTGAGGAAATCTCAGCTTTCAAGTTGGCAAGTAACTCCCAATCTTCCAGTTTTTGTTGCTCTGGGAATGCCTACCAGTAATTTGGGCAAGGAGAGTAAACCAAAACAGTTGTCTGTTTTCTTAAATGTGTGTAGAGCTTGGGGGTTGGTCTGGTCCACTGGAGTGATGAAAACTAGAGTGTTGGGGTTCTTTTTTTTTTTAAGTTACTGGATATAGATTGTAGTGTGTGGTTCTCTTGAAATTTTTTTCAGGTGACTTAATGTGTCTTAATAACTACTATAGGAGCTTCAGAGCAGAGGAAGTGGCTTAATGACCCTGCAGGGAATTCTCCTGGTGATAGCTTTTATATTATCAAGTAAGAGATTCCATATCAGTGTGTATAAGCAAGTCTTTTTCCTAGTGTAGGAGAAATGCTTTTCCTTTGTGACAAGATGTGAAGGTATGCCTCTTTTTGTATGTGTGCATTGTATACTTTGTATTTATTTGTACTTTATAATTTAAGAATGTGGTAGTTCAGCCTGAATGTCTTAGAGGGTGGGCTTCTGTTGATGGGGAGGGAAACCTTTTTTTTCTGTAGACTTTTTTCAGATAACATCATTGAATCATAACCAGCCTGGCAGTATGATGACCTAGCTGCAGAGGGAACAGCTCGTTGGTGAATGATAAGTAAAGGCAGAAAAGATAATGTCATGTCTCCATTGGGGAATGAGCATGAGCCCGAGATTCTTACTACTGATGAAAACCATGTCTCCATATGCAAAAAATTAAGCAAATGAAAGCAACCAGTATAAAGTTACGGAATCTACCATGTTTAAAAAAAAAATAATGGCTTATCAAGTAAAGAATTGATGAAAAACAATGAAGATCAAATGTCCATCTCAAAACACTGCTTTTACAAAAGCAGAATAAAAAAATGAAATGAAATGAAAATGCTACATTAATCCTGGAGTAAAAAGAAGCTGAAATTAATTGATATGAGTGGGATCAAGTGGATTGAGAGGAGGCTGTGCAGTGTGCCAATCTTTCCTTTGCCTCAGACAGGTTTCTCTTCATAATCAGAAGAGTTGCTTCATTTCATCTCGGAGCAGGAAACAGCAGACTGCTGTTAAAACAGATAAGTTTAACTTGAATCTGCAGTATTGCATGTTAGGGATAAGTGCTTATTTTTGTAAGAGCTGTGGAGGTATTAAATATTTGTCCTTGCCTGACCCCTTCCTTTGGGGATTTCAGGATAGTGAGCAGTTTTCCCATCCAGCCTTTTAGAAGTTCTAGGCCTTGTGCCAATGGGCTTTCATGATGGGACAGTCAGTAAAAGGCTTTTGCATCCTAAATAACTTCATCACAAAAGCCTTGTATACATGATTAGTGACTGCTTAAATCACATTGCTTACAAAACTAAGGAATCTTTTTCACTTGATTCTCTGAAGAGCCTGTGAAAGGGATGTAGCATTATGTGCTGAAAGTCAGATATGTTCATCTTGCTAAAATTTAAATGTGCTAAATGTACTTGTGCTTAAACCATTAAATTATACAAATTAATAAAATACTTGGCTAGAGAATGTATGTATTTAGAAAGCTGTCTCCTTATTTAAATAAAGTATTGTTTGTCTGTAGTTAGTGTTGGGCAATCTTGGGGGGGTGTTCTTTTCTAATCTTTCAGAAATTTTGTCTTCGAACACTTAAACGGACAAGATCAGGACTTGCAGAAGACCGAATTTAACTTTAAGGCAGGAAAGACAAATTTTATTCTCCATACAGTGATGAATGAGCATTTAATAATTCCAGGCGTGGCATAGAGGCCCTCTAAATAAGGAATAAGTACCTTAGACAGGTGGGAGGTAATGGTCAGAGTAAAAGGTAACTACATATTTTGTTTCCAGAAAGTCAGGGGTCTAATTTGACAATGGCTAAACATCTAGGGTAAGATAACTTTTCCACATTTCCAAATTTGCATGTTAAGTTTAAATGCTTACGACCATCTCATTCACTGTTAGCCTTTTCTCACCTCACTTGAGCCAGGAGTTGGGGTGGGCATGTGGGTTTTTAAAATTTTTCCTTTGCAGAGGCTTCATTTCATCCTTCATGAAGCTGCTCAGGATTTTGACTTGCATATGAGTGCTTGGCTCTGTCTTCTGTTCTGCTAGTGAGTGTGTGGGACCTTGCAGTGAGTTTTTCATGGAATCCGGAGGGAAGGGAGAGGGGGGGCTTACTTGTTCTAGCTTTTTTTTACAGACTACACAGAGAATGCAGTTGTCTTGACTTCAGGTCTTGTCTGTTCTTTGGCAAGTAATATGCAGTACTGTTCGAATCTGCTGCTATTAGAATGCATTGTGACCGACTGGATATGGTTAAAAGTTGTGTTTTCCCAAATGTTTGGAGTAGTGATTGTGGAGGAAAACCATGAGTGATACATACAGGCTGAGTGTTGAGGAAATGGCTCTGCAGCTTAAAGTAACACGTGTTTGTGATTGAAGCCAAGTTCCTTTTGCGTGCTGCTTTAGGTAAATGTTTTTGTTCATTTTTGGTGAGGGGGGATGGGGGCACTGAAGCCTTTAGTCTTTTCCAGATTCAACCTAAAATCTTGACAAGAAATAAATTCAGACAAGCAACATTCTTGAAGAAATTTTAACTGGCAAGTGGAAATGTTTTAACAGTTCAGTGGTCTTTAGTGCATTGTCTGTGTGGGTGTCTCTCTCCCCTCCCTTGGTCTTAATTCTTACATGCAGGAACATTGAGAACAGCAGACAAGTTTGCGAGGGGCCAGAGAAGCCAGACCCAGTAAGGAAAACAATAGCCCCTTTACTTTAAATCAATAAGTGAACCAAGCGTTGCTTTCACTGTGGGGATTGGGAAGCACTAGTTCTTTCAGATGTGCTCTTCAGACTGTAGAGGAGCTTCCCATTGAACTCACCAGTGGACAAGATGAGGACACCAGGTGAACAACAAGCCTTTTCTTGTTTAAGATTAGTGACTGGTAAACAAACTAGAGTTGGGTCCTCTTCAGCTTCATGCTGGAGCGGTTAGCATGTGATGAACAAGTGGTGTGTTGTTGGCCTTGGGGTGGAGGGGTGAGGTGGGCGCTAAGCCTTTTCTTAAGATTTTTCAGGTACCCCTCACTAAAGGCACCAAAGGCTTAATGTAGGACAGCGGAGCGAACCTTCCTGTGGCAAGAGACAACCAAGCACTATTATACCAAGGTCAAAGTGGTGTCACGGTCTGGTTTTGGTTAGCAATGAGAACTGCCTCAACACCCTGCTTGGCGTGAAGAATACTGGAGTGTCCCTGGGCTTGTTTTAATGTCCAAAAAAAGCTGTTTTTATAGCAGCTGTTAACCAGCCCATACCTCATTGTGCTTGAAGGGGAGGGAAAGGGGGAAAGTGGGCAACCAGTTTTCCCTAGCTTTTCCAGAAGCCTGTTACAAGGTCTCCCCACAAGTGACTTCTCTGCCACATCGCCACCCTGTGCCTTTGGCTTAATCACAGACCCTTCACCCCTCACCTTGATGCAGCCAGTAGCTGGATCCTTGAGGGCATGATGCGTAATCGGTTTCAAGGTAACCACGGTGCCAAGGTCCGGTGGGTTGCTCTAGAAAAGGCCATTTTTGTCCTGCCTGTAAATTAACAGAACATTAAAACCACAGCTAAGTAGCTAAGATGTTTTTAAGTATGTAGCACCTATTCAGTGACTAAACAAACTTAAACCAGTCAGGGGAACAGTAATGTTTGATATTTGACTGCTGGGTGGGAGTCAGCTGAGCAAGGCAAGCCTCGGTTAGGAAGCTGCTGGGGTGGGATTGCCAAAATTCTCTGCTAAGACTTTTTCAGGTGGACATTACAGACTTGACCAAGCTAGCTTCTTAGCGGAAGGAGATTCTTCAGTAGGGCTCTAAAGGTTTTTCTTTTCCTGAGAAAACAAACTCTTGTTTTCTCAGGTTTTGCTTTTTGGCCTTTCCCTAGCTTAAAAAAAAAAAGCAAAAGATGCCGGTGGTTGGCACTCCTGGTTTCCAGGATGGGGTTCAAATCCCTGCGGTGTCTTTGCTTGATTCTCAATATTAAAAGGCCTTAGCATTTCCTTGGGGGGAGGTGAAGGCTCAGGAGATGGGAGCAGACATTGTTAAACTTCTCAGTAACTGGTAGCTGCTTTGTCTTTTTCAGGTTATGCCCACTTCGTCTAGTGTTGACATAGCTCCATTATCAGATACTTTTCATTTTACAAAATAAAAGCTGAAAATCTTCATTGGTGTGGTTCTTTGGTGACTGTGTATAAGAGATGGGCTTATTCGAAGCCTGCTGGACTCCCCCAATTTTTGATCTGCCTCACTCAGCTTCCCAGCTTATACTGAATTACAAGCTTGCCTCCACTTCCCTAGGGCTTGATGGGTTTGTTTGGGGGGGGGGGCATTAAGATATGGTTTATGGCGGCAGCGGCACACACCTTTAATCCCAGCACTCAGGAGGCAGAGTCAAGCAGATCTCTGAGTTTGAGGCCAGCCTGGTCTACAGAGCAAGATCCAGGACAGGCACTAAAGCTACACAGAGAAACCCTGTCTTGAAAAAACAAAAAACCGTGTATCCCTGGGCTGTCCTCAAACTCATCTGCCTACTTCTGCCTCCTTAGTGCTAGGATTAAAAGTCTGCTCAGTGATGGTTCTTTGATACAGATTACTAGCTATAGTATAGGACAGACCTAGGTCCTGTGTGGCCCTTCCCTTATGAATGGAGTCACCCTTGGCCATGGATCCCTGAGCTGCCCTTCCTTGCTGTTCAGGCCTTACTCCCTGAGAAGAATCATCCTGGATTGCCCATGAGTGCTCTGGGAAAGATAGATGCTAAAGGTGCTCTACTTTGCTCCTGTAGGCTGTGAAGTAGTACTGTGTGGATGACAGTCATTTTTCAAGTAGTTCAGGGAACTGTAGGGTGTGTAAATGATCTAATAAGTCCTAATGGCATTCCCAGGGGGGAGAATGGGACTTGGGTGTATGTGACACCATGTGTGGGGATGTGCACACACAGTGCTTGGAGGTTTCAGAGATCACACTAGTCCTAAGGCCATGGCCCAAGATGGGAACATGTTCTCTTTTTGCCATTGAAGGCTGTGGGGAAGACTTCCCATTGCTCTTGAGGACCAACAGCAACAGATCTGGTTTCTCAAGCCGGGAGGACTACATGTTTTTCCTCTGACAGATTACTAGTTCTGGCTGCTGTAAGGATGGGGCTGGGCTGGGTCCAGGCTCTCTATCCCTAAGTCGTCCTGCTCAGACGTTATTATCTGGGCAAAAATATTCTGGATTGATAAAGGTTCTGCACACAGCTGGGAACCTGTGGTGGCAGGCTGTACCTAGCACAATTGGGCCTCAGCTGGTCAAACTGAGAAGTCCTCAGGTTAGCAAAACTGGTGTGCGCTCTAACTGGGTCTCTGCCAAGGCGGTCCTAGTCAGTCTCCCAGTACTCCAGTGCAGGGCCGCTTCACAGCTGGAGAGGTAGCCCAATGAGGTGGCAGACCAAGCCAGCTTGTGCTTGACCTGCTTCCCCTGGTAGTGGTAAGGCTGAACTAGACCCTGCCACGAGCCTCAGTAAGGACCCATTCTGGATTAGACCATAGGTCTGTCTCCTGGAGAAATAAATGTGTTTCCAGAGCTGAAGGCCTTGCTGAGGCACAAACGACATTGGAGAGCATGTGATACGAGCCAGGGAGGGGCTAGACGTGGAGCTCGCCCTACCTGATTGGGGCCAGGATTGGAACAGAAAGCAGGCTTGGGAGTTTCCCAAAAGGTCAAGTTGGGGTCCAGAGGCTTCACTTAAGGTTTCACTGTGCAGCCTCCCAGGGTGACTGAACTTGGGTCCTTGGGCCTCAACTTGTGGAGTGCTGCTAGTGTTCCAGGGATGAAGCGCTGTTCTGTACCCAGATGTGCTGCCCACATGCTCTGGTTTTGCAAAGGGTACTCAGGCTTCATCATCCTGAAACAACAGCATTTCCCCAACCAGACTCGATGTCTATCCCCAGCCACAGCCCCCAAAGCTTGTTGGTACAGGCCAAGCAGTACAGTGTCCCTCTGCCAAGGCATGAAGTTAGGAGAGGAATCTGGGAAGATGTGCTGTGGTTTCTATTTTTTAGGTAGGGTCATAGTAGCACCAGGGGGATTCTACCTATGTGGCCCAGGGGGGTCAGTTTGAAGTCATGACTCAGTCTCCTGAGTGGGATTACACAGGTGCGCCAGTATGCCCTGGCTGCCTGAATTTCTGACTCTGAAACTCAGGCCTTTTGTCCTGCCTTTGATCAGTTGACAAACTTGAGAACTGCCCAGCCTCTACAATGCTACCCTTTAAATGGATACAGTGCTTTGTTAGCACTGGGTCAGAGACTAGGGTAGCTGGGCAATTCAGAAGTGACTGAATTTTGCTGCCACCTAGTGTACAAACATGGGATTGCATGCAATGTCCTTGAACTGTTCAGGTTAATCTATCTGTCTATATCTATCTATCTATCTATCTATCTATCTATCTATCTATCTATCTATCTATCTATCATCTATCTTTTTTTCTTTCTTTCTTTTTTTTTGTTTTTTTTGAGACAGGGTTTCTCCGTGTAGCTTTGCGCCTTTCCTGGAGCTCACTTGGTAGCCCAGGCTGGCCTCGAACTCACAGAGATCCGCCTGGCTCTGCCTCCCGAGTGCTGGGATTAAAGGCGTGCGCCACCACCGCCCGGCTCTCTCTTTCTTTTTTAATCTATCTTTCTTTCATCTATCATCTATTTATTTATTTTGTTTTGTCTAGACAGAGTTTCTCTGTGTAGTCCTGGCTGTCCTAGACTAGGCTGATTTTGAACTCACTGAGATCCGCCTACCTATACCTTCCAAATGCTGGGATTGAAGGCATGTGCCATCACCGCCCTGCTAATTTTTTTTTAATTTTTATAATTTTTTTTTGTTGTTGTTGTTGAGTCTCTATGAAATTCTGGCTGTCCTGGAATTTTTTGTGTAGACTAGGCTGGCCTTGAACTCACAGAAATCCTTCCTTTTGCCTTTGCCTCTTCAGCAAATCTTGCCAGCCTATATCTCCATGACCAGCTAAAAATTTTAAAAAGATTTATTTTTAGCTGGATGTGGTGGCACATGCTTTTAATCCCAGTACTTCACTCAGGAGGCAGAGGCAGGTGGATCTCTGTGAGTGCCCTTGTCTACAGAGTGAGTTCTAGGACAGCTAGAGTTTACGTAGTAAAACCTTGTCTCAGACAATTTTAACAAAGATTATTTTAATTTTACATGTATGAGTGTCTTGCCTGTATTTATGCATATGCAACCCATGCAGTGCCTGTGGACGTCAGAAGAGGGGCTTGGATCCCCTAGAACAGGTGGTTGTGAGCCACTGTGTAGATGCTGGGAATCAAACCCAGATCCTCTGGAAGAGCAGCCAGTGCTCTCCAGCCCAACCCCTCCCTACTGTTTAAACACAGGATCTCATTATTGGACCAGGCTGGCCTCAAGCTCACAGAGACCCGCCTGCCTCAGCCTCTTCTGTGCTGGAATTAAAGGTGTGTGCCATGCCTAGCTGCAGCATATCTTTTTATCCCTTAGTAATGTGGTTTGAATGAGAATGGCCCCATAGGCTGTTACATTTGAATGTTGGGCCCTATGTTAATTGAACTATTTGAGAAGGATTAAGAGGTGTGGCCTTGTTGGGGGAGGTCTATCACTGGGGGTGGGCTTGGAGGTTTCCAAAGCTCATGCCAGGTGATCTTGTTCTTTCTTTGCCTCTAGCTTATAGATAAGATGTGAGCTCTCAGCTACTGCTGCAGCACTGTGCCTGCCTGTGTGCCAGCACACTTCCCGCCATGATGATCATGGACTCACCTCTGAAACCGTAAGCAAACCCCCAATTAAATGCTTTCTTTAATAAGCTGCCTCCGTCATGGTGTTCTTCACAGCAGCAGAACAGTGACTGAGACAAATAGTGTTCTAGTATACAGATATCCCACATTTTAAAAATTACTTTTACGTGTATGAATGTTTGTGGATCACATTTGTGCCTGGCTCCAAAGGAGGCTAGAAGAGGGCATTGGCTCCCTGGAACCAATGAGTTATAGCTTGTTATAACCTCTCTTGTAGGTGCTTGGAATCACCCAGGTCCGCAGGAAAAGCTCTTAACTGCTGAGCCATTTCTCCAAACCCAGTCCATATTTTTTTTTAATCCATTCAGCTGTTACTGTCAATTTGACTACAAATAAAACATTTGGTGGCTCACGCCTTTAATCCCAGCATTTGGAAGGCAACACAGGCAGATCTCTGAGCTCAAGGCCAACCTGAGCTACATAGTGAGACCCTGTCTCAACAACAAAAAATTTCATTTGCTGTAAGGCTGCTGGCAGAGTTAATACCCCTTTCATATAAGATACTTTATGGTGACGCTTCCCTTTAGTTCCAGCACAGGGAGGCAGAGGCAGGTGAATCTCTGAATTTGAAGCCAGCCTGTGCTGCAGAGAGAGTTACAAGACAGCCAAGGATAGATAGGGAAACCCTGTCTCAAAAAACCAAAACCAAAGCAAACAAAACAAAACCCCAAAAACTTTGTTAAAATATCACTAACTCGAGCCTGAATGTATTTGTCTTGGTCACTGCGCTATTGCTGTGAAGGGACACCATGACCAAGGCAACATATAGAAGAAAATATTTGATTGGGGGCTCCCTTACAAAGGGTTAATCCATTATCACAGTGGGGAGTCTGGCAGGCATGGGGCTGGTAAAGAAGGTGAGAGCTACAGCTTGTTCCAAAGGCAGCAGGCAGAGAGAAAGCTATTGTACCTAGCACGAGGAGATTTTGACACCTCAAGGCCCAGCCCCAGTGACACACCTTCTCCAATAAGGCCACACCTTTTTTTTTTTAATTAATTTATTTTCTTTTGGTTTTTCTTTTTTTTTCTTTTTTAAAGATTTATTTATTTATTATGTATACAGCATGTATGACTGCAGGCCAGAAGGGGGCACCAGATCTCATTACAGATGGTTGTGAGCCACCATGTGGTTGCTGGGAATTGAACTCAGGACCTCTGGAAGAACAGTCAGTGCTCTTAACCTCTGAGCCATCTCTCCAGCCCCAAGATTTCTTATTTTTATTTTATGTACATGAGAGTTTTGCCTGAATGCATGCTTGTGCACTGCGTGCATGCCTGGTGCCCATGGAGG